ATAGATTAGTATCACAAAATCCAATTCTATTTATTGGATAGAGGGAATCACACCATACTTTTATCTACTATCCAAGGAGAGTGCCCTTGACGGAGGGCAAAAGTTGGACTTGAATAACCAAGCCCGTATCACGCATGTCAAGATAGGGTACTCACCCTCACTTTGCTTCCGCAGAAATTCCTGGATGAGACCAACAGGTTCTGCACTTTGGGCCACAGAGAAAGTTCTCAAGCAGCTGCTTGCCTTCTTTGTGATGGTGACGAAGCAGGAGTGCATCATGACTGGCATCCTCGGAGAACTTCTTTGGGACTTGGCTTGAGGGCTACATAGGCAGCCTCCGAGCGGACACTTTGAACATAGGCGATTTAAACGAAGCGGAAGCTCGCCAGTTTTTTGATACGCGCCTACCAAGGGGTGTCCGACGAGTTGTGGAAGGACATATATGGACGGATGGGCTTACTAGCCAGAGCTGCTCGGAGCGTAGTCATAGGACATCTTTCTCGAGCTGCCGTTTGGAGGTACAGCTTGCTTGCTTGCTTTCCAGAGGACCTCCCTGCCAACAAGCCTAACAAGCCGTACTGGACGAAGGACAATTGGAAGACCATAGTGTCCACCTTGGTGGAACACAAGGATGGTATTACGCCCTACATGACGCTCTGCAACAAGCTTTTCGTGGGCAAGGTGAACAGTCTCATCGAGTATGACCTTAGGACACTTGCGGTACCCCTTGTCATGCCAACGTCGCTTCACTTTCGAGCTATGCAGGGGCTGGCCAAAACTTTGTAGAATCACCACGGAACGAGATATGCAAGGGCGATCAACTTGATTTTCACATTCCGTTGACTTTCGTCAAAGGAAAATACTAGTTAGAAATTTTCGTCCATGGATGAAGCCTCAAATCTACTGCCACTTCCAAGCACTTCGTCGTGGAGAGCTATGCATCGCGATTGAGGCAGTGTGGCATCGCAAGAGACGTAGGAGGACGAGCTCCTCGACTAAGGCTCTCGTCTAAAAGTATGCCCAGTGTGGGCATTTGCAGGAATCCCGGGAATCTTTTGAGATCCACGCAAAGAACGTCTTCTCCTGGAATGTGATCGTGGAAAACGGCGAGATCCGGCAGGCCAGGGCGCTGTTCGTGTCGTGACGACGATGGTGAGCGCTTATGCCCGAAAGGAGGGCGATTCCCGCCTCGCGCGATTGTTCTTCGAGAGCATGCCGCAGTGGAGTGTCGTTCCGTGAAACGCCATGCTCGGATCAATAGTCCAGGACGGCGAGTTGGGCCTCGCTCGCAGGTTCTTGGAGATCGCGCGAGAGAGACGTGATCGCCTGGAACACGATGATTACGGCCTATTCCCAGGAGCTCCAGTTCGCGAGCTTTCTCTTCGACAGGATGCCACAGAGAGTTTGGTGTCGTGGAGCACTATTACTGCGGCTAACGCACATCTTGGAAGATTAGTTGACACGCCGCATTTGCCTTAAATGGGCATTTTGGTTATGCAAGATTTAATGTTGATCGAGTGCCACATCCCAATGTAATCTCTTGGAACGCAATCTTGGGTGCGTATGCTAGCGCTGGCTTTGTAGAAGTGGCTGAATATCTTCCAGTCCATGGACGAGAGATCCGTGTCATGGAAGTCTCTGATATCCGGATATTCTCACCGGGGAGAAACGTTTCGTGCATCTCGGCATCACTTGGAGTTCTCCGGTCTGAGTTTTGTTTTATTTTTCTCGTTAGACAGCAGATTTATAGCGAAGTTCGTTGATGCAACTGGCCACACCCGATTTCAGCATGCCACCTGACAAGCACGGCTCTTGCACTGTACTTTGGCTCGCTGTGAGGCGAAAAACAGGCGAGGAAGAAAGGGTAGACTTTTCTCCCCATCCATTCATTCCAGGCTCATTCTTACGCCATTCACTCTTGGCAAAAGCAGAAGGGAAGAAGCCGGGGTTTCCGAGCCAAAAGTTCAAGTGGCTGAGAAATGAGAAGCACATGAGAGTGATCAAGGTGATACTGGTGGTGATAATTGGCGTGGCTGTAAATCACTACCTGAGCTCATCAGGATGCCGCTCTGGGCTCTCGGAGAAATCATTCTGTCCAGACTCCTCCAGAAGAGAATAAAAAAGGTGAAAACTTTGACTCCATCTTCCTTTTGGGGGTCAACAAGGGCGCTGGCATTTTCCATACACCACACAAAGAGAAAAGCAAGCGATGGAAAGCAACAAGGTAACTTGGGATAGCTTTTTTCCAGCTGATAAAAAATCGATCTGACTGCTCTTTGCTAGATCCATGGAGGAGTGTTTTCAATATGAAAGATCAGAGTTTCGCGTGAGCTGGATTTTTCACGAGGGTACAGCCTGGAAAGTTAAAAACTTTCTTTTCGAGCTGGACTTGTCATGAGCTACTAAGCGGGTTTTTCTTCCACAGGAGATATTCGTACTCAGCATATCTCTCAGGATCAGGTGTCCGTACGCTTCTCCTGTCTTGCCTTTGAAGGACCTGCGCTGGGTTGGTTTTTATCTTTTATGCATCTTGGCGAAAACGACCAGCAGCAAAGTTGCTGGATTGCAAGCTAAGGTTACACTTTCTGCAAGAAAAATTTGTTTGATACTAAGTACTGTTCTTGAAAGCTAGCAATAAGAATAAGAACAAGGAACACTCTAAAGCAAAAAAAAATGTTTAATACTAAAAAACCACCAGAGTTTTGTCCATAAGGGCTGCTGGCACCAGTGGCCAGTAGCAGCAGTCGCAGCACAGCAGCGGCCATGGTGGCAATAAAATGGGAGAAAGAATGTAGAGCTTGTTCAAATCTTAGCTCGCTCTTGTCTGTGCCACTCTCTGCCAGTGCCGCCGTGCTCCGGGAAACTCCGGGAGGATCCAAAGCCTGAGATACGGTAATGGTGGCCGAGGCGAGCATTGCTTTACTCTCAGTAGCTTCTTTAAGTGCTGGGCTGCCAGAGTTTAAAGACTTGCGCCTGGCGGACTAGAAGAGGGCCTTCGAATTTTCTCTGCTGCCATTGTCTTGGTGTAGTCTTTCCGGCCAGGTGTGTGCTTCTGTCAAATCCGTATCCCTCCCTCCATTCGAATATGGGGAAGTGTATCAGCAAGCCAGTAGCGGTGGATCCTCCAGCTGAAAAGCCCAAGACGGATAGCCATCCTGGAGAGTCTACACCAGCTGCTGCTACCCCGGCTAAGGGATCAGATCGTTCCCTCCAGCAGCTCTTCGCAAAGGTAGAGAGAAAATTATTGCTCCTGTAGAGAGGAGGTGATAGTGAGCGAGCGAGTGAGATATGTTTCAAGATAAAAATGGTTACCTTTTGTCTTTGCCGTTGTGCAGGACGAGGAGCGGGAGGACGAAGAGGAGAACGGGCAGCTCAAGCGGATTCCAGAGGAAGATAGCTCCGCCGAGGAGCAGGAGGAGGAGACGACGGACAAGGCAGCAGCAGCGGTCGAGGGTGGCGTTGTCCTCTTGGAGACAATAGCCGAGGATAGCAGCAAGGAGGAAGGATCTGGAAATGCTGGTGGTGTCATTGCTCCTGCTGAGATCGAGAAGCGCGATCCCACTAGTGCTGATGAGGAAGGCACTGGAGCTGTGAAAGGAGGCGAAGCCCCACCACAGAAAGTCGAGCATGTTGAGGAGGAGCGGCCGAGCACACCCGAGATTTCCGAGTCTAACAAATCTCCACCAGCTGACGCTTCACCAGCACCAGCAAATAAAGAGGAAGTTGTTTCCGTTGCCCCCCCGGCTGACAGTGGATCAGAGCAAATGGACGAGAAGCAGGTTGATCTGATAACGCAGGAATCCGACAAGTTCGAGCTGGTCCTCAAGCCACAAGAGTCGGAGAAGTTTGAGATCGAGATCTTCGGAGGCGAAGGGGCTGTTGGATCCGGCCAAGGCCAAGTGGTTGAAGAGAAGACGTCCACTTCCAAAGGGGCAGAGGAAGAAGAAGCAGTAGCTAGTAAGAAGGAAGCGGTACAGGATGAAGCTGAAAAAGACGTAGTAATACCGCCGGGTAAGGAAGCTGGAAGTGAAGTAGTAGCTTTACCTGGTAAGGATGAAGCTGGAAACGAAGAAGTAGGAGTACCACCTGGTCAGGACGAAGAAGCAGGAGCTGCTCACGACAAGGATATAGTGCCACCTGGTAAGGATGAAAGAAAAGAGGAAGTAGTACCACCTGGTAAGAATGAAGCTGAAAACGATGAAGCTACGGCTGAAGGTGAAAACGAAGCAGCAGTAGCAGTACCACATGGTAAAATTGAAGCTGCTGAAGCTGGAAACGAAGCAATAGCAGTACCTCATGGTAAGAATGAAGTTGAAAACGATGAAGCTGCGGCTGAAGCTGGAAACGAAGCAGAACCTGGTAAGGATGAAAACAGCGAGAGCATCGAACCTGTAGGCGAGACTGGTGGAGACACCGATATCCTTCAGAAGGTACGATTGATTTACGATATCTTTGTACTCGTGATATATCTATTGCGCAGGTTGAAAACAACGTCGACACGAATGAGACGGGAGCATCGAAACCTCGAAGTACGGCGGAGGCTGCAGAGGGTAGTAATAAAGTCTCAAGTGAGAAGGTGGACTTTGGGGCTCTGGATCCTGACGAGGCCAGGAACGCCCAAAGCAAGGAAGAAAGTGGACAAGGTGAACCTGCTCGTGATCAGGCTGCCGCTGCCGACGTATCTTTGGATGCTGGAGAATTACATGTCGAGCCATCACCAGATGTCGATACTTCAGTAAATGCGAGCACCATTGCACAAGGCCAGGAAGAAGTCAAACCGGAAGAATTCTTTGAGGCGTCTGAACAGATTTCTGACCTTCCGGAGAGCATGGAACATAAAGCCGCGCCAGAGGTAGAGGCAGCGGCTACTCCTGTAAGACAAGAAGACACAGTTAGTAATACGTGAATGTTTGCCTGTTTGCGTGATGAACGAATTCTTCTCCTGCTAAGTAGAATGAAGGAAGCAACTTGTCATCCTTCAACCGCCCAGGACTCTGAAACTTTGAGAGAAGCTCGTCTTGTACACGTTGGACAGCAAAACGAAGTGCGAGTCGTCGTTGGGCTCCAGCTTGGACATGATCTCGGTAACCCGCGCTGCTCTCGCCACTTCACCGTGCATGGAGCACGCATTCAGAAGAATCCGCCACAGGATCGGGTCGGAATGGCTGGGCAGCCTCCGTAGGAAGTCCTCCGCATGACTCATCCAGCCCGCTTTGACGAGCAGATCGATCATGCACGCGTGATGTTCCTGCGACACGGGGAGCTTGTGATCCTCGGACATGCACGTATAGTAGAACCAACCTTGGTAGAGCAGTCCCGCGTGGGAGCAAGCGTTGAGAATGCTGATGAAGGTGATATCGTCCGGCTCAAACCCCTCGAGGATCATGTTCTTGAAGATCTCGAGGGCTTCCTCGTGGCGGCCGTGCTGAGAGTACGCGGTTATCATGGTCGTCCAGGAAACCAGAGTCCTCTTCTGGATCCCATCGAACAAGTCCTTTGCGCGCTGGATCTTCCCGGCTTTGGCATACATATTGAGCAGCGCGTTCTGCACCGTAGTATCGGAGGAAAAGACGCTGGAAGCAATGCACTGGTGGATTACAGTACCTTGCTCGACCGAGCAGGAGCCCAGGACGCTGCTGAAAGTGAAATCGTTGGGACGGAAGCCTTCCAAGTTCATTCTCCAGAAAAGCTCCACGGCCTCGTCGTCGAGGCCTTTCTGCGTGAATGCCGCGATCATCTCGTTCCACGACACGAGATCCTTCGCCTCCATCCCCTCGAAAACATTTTTTGCAGCGGGAACGCTCCCGCACTTGACGAACATGTTGACGGCGGCGTTTTGCACAGCGGTGTGAGACTGGTAGCCGCAAGCCACTGCTCGAGCGTAAACTTCCCGGCCTCGGTGGACGTCTTGAGCAGAAGAGCAAGCTCCCAACAGGCTGATAAAAGTCACGTCGTTCTGCTTCAGGCCTTCGCAGTCCATCCCTTTCAACACCTGTAGTGCCTCGTGCAAAAGCCCACCTTGGGCAAACGCCGTGATCATGGCTGTCCACGTAACTACGTTCCTCTCGGCCATCTGGTCGAACACCACCTTTGCTTCCTCCACAGCCCAGCACTTTGCATACATGTTGACGAGCGCAGTTCCAAGCACGACGTCAGGCCTCAATCCAGAGCTCTCGATCTGTGCGTGAATTGCCTTGCCTTGCTTCAGGTTCCCACACGCCCCGAGAACGCTGGCAAACGCGAACTCGTCCGGCTGGGCACCTTCTCTGCTCATCTGGGCGAACAAATCCAGCGCCTCCGAGTCGTGTCCATTCTGGACATAGGCCGCCAGCATGATCGCCCAGGAGAAGGCGTTTCTCGAGCGAATCCCATCGAAGACTGCCCGGGCGTCTCTCACGCTGCCGCATTTGCCGTATCTCTGGACGAGGAGATTGGCCAGGAAGCGATCGTCGCTGTGGCCGCTCGAAACAACGAGCTCGTGAGCCTTCGCCAACTCGAGCAAATCACTCGCGTTTCGGACCAGCGTCACGAGCGATCTATCCATGAAAAAGATTGCGTAAAAACACGCTGAGCTTATTTGTCGCTGCTGGAGCTACTGGAAGTTACCATCACAGTCGAAGAACTCGGTTGGAGCTGAGGTTGAAAGGATCCTCCTGTCCTGCAAGGCTGGACGTCATCCTGCCTTCGATCCATCCGTTGTTCAGTGGTAACGCCTTTTCTCTTCCGCCAATGACACGGCTACCTTCGATCCGGTCCTCAAATTCTGGCAGCCCTTGTTCTAGCCTGAGCTTTCTGGCCTTTCTCTGCTCGTTAATCTCCTTCCGCAACCATTTCTCAACCGTTCTCTGTCGAGGCTCCATTGAGTTAGTAATAATGGAAGTTTTGCTATGCAAGCTTTCCATACCATGAGAGATAACTCCTTGAGCTCTGGAATCTCGTGGAGAGGTTTCATGATCTGGAGTCTACCGCTTGCCAGATAAGCCTGAATGGAATGAGATGCACAAAGATGAAGACCAAAGAGCTTACAATATGAGAAGGCCATGACTCAAGCCCGTCGAAGATATGAGTTGCGTAGATGATAGTTGCTCCACGGTCCAGGCACTCGGACTTGAGAAACGCGAGAAGGTCTGATCGCGCGAGCACGTCCAGGTCGACGGTGATCTCATCTAGCAATAACACCTGAAACAAAGGAAAAGAAACAGAAAGTAAGCTGAGAAGCTTGAAACATCTTTAAAGTGGTTACTTGCCTTGAATGGTTTCAGGAGACCCATGCAAATCTGGACGCGTCTTCGCTGGCCATCAGAGACCTTGTGCATTCTCCAGTTGAGATCAATGTCAAGAACCTGTACAAACGATGCACAGAGAAAAAAAAACAAGTTCCAGGAAAAGAAGACACGCGAATGATCACCTGAATCAACTTCTTTCGACGCTCTTCGTCGGTACCAGCTACTCCCAGAATCATCTTTCCCGCGGAAATGTCCATTTGGATTGGTACATCGAATCCCGCAAACGCGACATCTCGCCTCCACTACTGGCCAACAAAGAATTCTCAAAACTCTCCGAGGAGAAAGGAGAAAAAAAAGGTATCTATCATACCTCCCCGCCAAGGTACGATAGATCGCCAGAGCAAGTGATGGAGGTATCGTGGAAGGCCGATTTGCCGAGGACGCGCACCATATCCGGATGCACGAAGTGCTTGCCACCGATAATCTTGAGCACAGTAGTCTTCCCTGCCGAATCCCTCACGATATTTCGTGATTCTTGCCCGAAAAAACGAAGAAGAATGCGATACCTGCCCCATTGGCGCCGATGAGCAAGCATCGATCCCCGGCTCGCAGCGTGAGGGAAAATCCCTGGACAAGCGGCTTTGCTCCTGGTGCGGCATTTCCATCAATCCCCGGGTACGTAAAGCACAGCTCCTTCACCTCCACAGTGACAGCCATAGAGTAGATCGAAAAAACCCTGAAATAACTAAGAACCCTAAAAAACTAGGAACATCGTTAAAGGTTTAAAGGTAATGGCGGGAAAGGAGGGTTAGGGTTCTAGGCAATGGACGATGTGTTTCCGATTCCCGTGCGCCTTGTGTACGTGCATCCGGCGGAGGAGCGTGGTAGGAATGTGGACGATCTTCGTTCTAAGGTAGCATTCCGGGCCGTGCCATTCGACATCCAGGATTCGGCCGAGCTTGCAAGCTGGCTCAAGACGGCTCTCACAGTGGACGCGGTCCTTACCTCCAAGGGATGGATGGAAATTCCTATGCCAGATCCTGCACCACCGCTGCCCCCAGCATTCGAGCTCCATCTCCGCAAGGCGCTCTTCGCAGGTTTGATTTTGTCTGGCATGCTACTCCTCTCATTTCGCGCAGATGCTTGTGATAACAGCAAGGAATGGGCTCGCACTGTGTTACGCCCATTTCCGTTTGCTGTCCTAGGCGTTGCCGACTTGCGGAGAGCGTTGGAGGAGCCACTGTCTTTGCCGCTCCCTGTTGGTCCTGCTACATACGCAACTCTGTATCCGAGCTCTGCCACTCAGTTCATTCCGACCAGCCAGTACCCCGCCGAGAGGATCTCCGCTTGCGTCACCACCTTCATGAACTCGAGGGTGGCGTTTGGCATGTCCGAGAATCAAAGTTTCTGGGACTCGGCATTTTGCAACTTGTGGATGGAGCTGCTGTATCTGTCGGAGATCACCAGCGTTCAGCTCAACCGGAGTGTCACCGAGCTCTCTGGTGCTTCAACCGCAGACGCCCGTCCGGATTTGCTGCTTTGGATCTCGAGCAGGCTCTGCGTCAAGTTTGAGGAGAAACGGGCAACTCTGGAAGAGGCGTTCCAGGACTTGACAAAGAAACTTGGCGTGCTCCCACCGCAGTACTATGGACCCGTCCAGTGGATGCTTGGGGTAGCACTAGCAGGTCCGGAGATGGCAGGATGGGCTGTGAGACATGGGCAAGATGCACCAGATGATCTGTTTGGGCGCTTAAACATGGTGTCACTCAGGGACAAGGCAACATGCTTGCGACTCTCCGTCAACTTCCTCCGGATTGCCTTGACAATCTCAGACTTCTACAGCGGGATGAATTCTCTGCCGCGGCCATTCAACGTGCTTCCTCCCGCCTCTTACGGCTCCCTCGGCCAGATAGCCAGGACTCTGCGGATCGTCTATCCCAAGGTGATCAAGGAGATTCGTCCCTGGTCGCAGCATGTTGCGGAGGGATTCACTACGACGGCTTTGGTGACGCGAGCATACGGGCTTGGCGCTGTGGGGCTGGTGTCCGGCGACGTCAAAGTCAGGGGTGAGCGATACAGCGTGGTCATTCACTCGGTGGGATACGAGCGCATAATTTCTCGTAAAGATGACTTGTGGCCGGCCATGCAGGACGTGCTTCACGGGGTGCATGCGTTGCACCACGCGGGCTTGGTTCACAGGGACATCAGATGGAGAAACGTCCTCCAGTGTCCGGCTAGTAATGAGGGTTGGATGCTCATCGATCTTGAGACGGTGTGGAAGACAGACTGTAAGCCGAGCTGTTGCTGGCTTCGCGCCTGGGACGAGAACACATTGGTTGACGGCCTCTACACGCGGTCCTCGGATCTCTATCTTGTTGGAAGGCTTATGGAGAGCTTTCGTGATCTGTCACCCGAGGCCAAGGAGTTTCGGGCTAGGCTTTTACGGCACGGGTTCCGGAGTGCTCAGGAAGCGCTGCATTACTTGAAGAACACTACTTTCTGCAAAACTTAGGGTTTATCGGTTTGCACTTTGCACTTTATATAAAAATATTTTAAAATGTGTATTTTAATTTTTGTGATTGCTGCATTTGCACTTGAGTAGTTTCTAGGTTGTTTTAAGCTTTAAGTATGCATTTTAAAACATTTTCATTCCCACCTGCATAGGTTTTTTGGTATAAAACACTAGTGACTTCGCACCTGACTTACTTTAAAATGTCTTTCAAACATGTTTTAAAATATTTTAAAATTTCAAATTCAAATCAAATTTGAAATACTAACCTAAATTTCAATTTCAAGTTCAAATTTCAAATAGTAAACTTGAACATAGAAATCAACATAGGAAGTCGGTTAAGTTCTCTTGAACATCCTGTGCATCCTCTGGCCCATGCAAGTCTTTCTGTGGTTCTCCCTTAGCTATGACAAGATCCTTGTAATCTTTGAAAATCTCTACTTCTTTGAAGGCTTGAATGTGTCTCTCTTATGCCTTGATCTTGGCATTGATGTTTGTTTCACCAACATCAATTAACAAGTTGTGCAAAATGCAACAACCTTTGATGATCTTCAACAGATACTTCAACTTGATCCTTTGTTTTTGATCCAAGCATTTGAATGTCATTTTTAGGAGTCCAAATGCTTGTTCAATAACAATCCGGGCCAAATGGTGTTGCTGGTTGTACTCTGCCTTAGTCACTATCAACTGGGAACCTATTTCAAAAGAATAATTGAAAAAAAAACCAATCAGTTTACCTAAGTGAGGGATTATCAAGTGCTGCTGCAGTTAGTAGCTTTTGTCTCCCACCAAGTACGGCTCAATCCACTCGTCAAAAGCAAACTCCAGAGAAACTATGAGTAATGCCCTTGCTTGGATCTTGTGACATAGTTTGGAGTTTCAAAAAACCCTTATATCATGAACACTCCCTAGGGAGAAAAATAAACCAATTAGATGTATAGAAGAAAAAAATTAAAAGTAATTACTTGACTAGCCTGCATAGATACTCAAGAACCTTTTTTGAGCATTGCACACCCCTTACAAGATCACCGAATACTGTTGCTTTCGATCAAAGTAACCCTCACCATCTAAGCCAACTTGTAGCGTATGTGATTATAGGATGAGATTTGGATATACTGTCACTATGGATCTTTAGAACCTTTAGGGATAAATAGGGATAAAATAGCCACTAAGGGCTCTCTCATTAAGCAATTGCCCCTTTTCCATTGATTAGTGATTATTTAAAAATATAAAATACCTTTGAGCAAGATATATTCCTACCCCTAAAATTTAAAATTATACATATTAGGCATCCATATGTATGTTTTTCCTCTTATGCGAAATATCCACGGACAAAAGTATCCACTGTAGGATTATAGTACGGGTGGATAACTAGCTGCCTCACATAGAATAACCAATTTACACAATGGAAGAATTGGTAGATTCAGTGCGGAAATGGAAGTGTTAATTCCCCTAAGCTCAATAAGGGTTATTAATTAATAGTCAATGAGGACATTAACATCTCTAAAGGGGGGGTGAGTGTAACACATGTGATCATAAAATGAGATTTGGATATATTGTCATCGTGGATCTTTGGAACCTTTAGGGATAAATGGGGATAAAATAGCCACTAAGTGCTCTTTCATCAAATAATTGCCCCTTTTCTAGTTAGCTTAAGAGGAGAGAGATAGGGTGCACTACACAACTGGTCAGATAATCTTGAAATGTGTACAGTTAATTGCCCCAGCCATATTAGGGAGATAGGTCTTAGTAATTTGTTGAAAATCTACCACCACAATTCTAACCTTTGCTGCTGTCTCCGAGAATCAAATCTTGTACTTGAGTGTAGTGCACCTTATCTCTCTCCCCTTAAGTCAACTGAAAAAGGGGCAATTACTTAATGAGAGAGCCTTTAGTGGCTATTTTATCCCCATTTATCCCCCAAGGTTCCAAAGATCCACAGTGACAGTATATCCAAATCTCATCCCATGATCACATGCGCTACACTGAGGCACTTAACAATTGCAACAGTTGTCTGCACCATAATGTTATGTGTAATGGCTTCCCCGATCCCAAACTTGTCAGACAGGTTAGAGTAGTCGGTGTTCTTGAACAACTTGGACAAGGTAACCCCCAAACAAACATCCGTTGGCACTGCTCTCCTAAGCTTCATATCCTGCTTGCAGATTTCAGCCTCCAGAATGCCACAAAGCCTGTGTCATCTTCTTCATCCTCAACTTCTGCTTCCATCAACCGAGGTCATACAACTCCATGAAGAGCTTGCTCCATGTTGTCATATACCGTGGTTTCACCCACCAAATACCAGTGTCAAGTTGCTTGGACAATACTACTTGACGAAGCTTGTCTTCATCCTCCTCTTTGTCCGGAAGAGTTTTTGTGCCACCAGGATCTTGTCATCGATGATGGATCAAAAAGCTTGCATGACGGGAAGCAAAACTTGCAAAAGAAGCAAGATTACCTTGTTTCTCAACAAGGCATCGATGATTGCTGCTTGATTGTTGAAAGAACCACATTCCTCCCAAGCTTTTTTTTGGTTTTCCCTGAAAGTATTTTCTGTTTCCTCGGATTCAATTATTGTAAGATCTTGAAAAAAAAAATAGTTAAAAGAAATCTAGAATATCATAGCCTAAACATACGTCCCCCTAAAATCCCAAAAACAAGATGGCTAACTCCTGGATGCAGCCCTATTCAAGAAGTTGGAGATGGAGCTTGCAAGGTTAGAGATGGTTCTAGCTAAAACTATTGCAGCTGCAACCTTTTGTAAGCGACTAATTTTCCATTCTACTTTAGTCACTTAACCACACCTTTGACCACTTGGAGGAGTCTCATTCACAACCTCCATCAGTCCAATTCAGGACTTGGGACTTGCTAGCCCCAAGAATGGCATCCATGCCACTCAACACTTGCACCTGGTCCAAGTGCTCCACGTGTCCGGTCCCAAGACTGACACCCAAAGGTACCACTGACATCTCGGCCCGTTACGCTAAGGCCATGCCCATTCACCTTTGCTGCACTAGTGGTCCAATACCACTTGCATCACCATCCCATCTCTCCAAGACTGGGCCATCTGTCCACGAGTGGTCATCCTAGATCCACTCCTTAGCATCCTTAGGATGCCCACAGACGTGGGGAATCGCCTTCCCCAAAGTCCCTTTGTCAGTTCCTACCAAGCCCCTTTCTGCCCCTAGCCGTGTTTGCCAACACTGTCACTGGATCGAGGCCCACAGGCCCGACCACCAAGTCCCATGGTCCTCTGGGACTTCCTCACCACACAACTGTGTCCTTGGTCACTACCCCAGAGGACTGCTCCTCTTCCTTTCCACAGTCTAGGCCCTTGGGACAACATTTCGGAACACCGTGGCCTTACGCGAGCCACCTGGGTACTCTCCCCGCCTTTCGCCTTTAGGTGCTCTAGCCATGGGCTTAGAGTGAGGTTCCGTTGAGCCACGCCTGGTATCCAAGTAGGTAGTGCCACCCACACTTGGACTAGGAGCATCGGCCAGTCGATCTCCCGGGGGAACTAGAGTCGGCTCTTGAACACTTCACCAAGCTACCCCGCTTGTCAGTCCGTATTCACTCTAGTCTTGGACTTCCCAGTGGTCAGTTCATCACCCAACACTGGGTCTGGCCTTCCTGGGCCAAACTGGCCTTTCCTGGCCAAACTGGCTCCACTGCAGTCCTCCCCCTTACTATACTTTTAAAGCTCACCAACCCCCCAGGGTCTGGGAGACGAATGCTTTGGGTTTTCACCCTCTCAGACTCGAACTCGGACTCGGACTCGGACTCGGACTCGGACTCGGACTCGGACTCGGGCTCGGGCTCGGGCTCGGTCTCAGCCTTGGCCTCGGTCTCGGTCCCGGTCCCGGTCTTGGTCTCGGTCTCGGTCTCAGTCCCGGTCTCGGTCCCAGTCTCGGTCTCGACCTCGGACTCCATCTTGGGTCCTTCTCGGACTCCATCTCGGACTCCATCTCGGACTCCATCTCGGACTCCGTCTCGGTCCATCTCGGACTCCATCTCGGGTCCATCTCGGACTCCGTCTCGGTCCACCTCGGACTCCACCTCGGACTCCATCTCGGGTCCATCTCGGACTCCATCTCGGACTCCATCTCAGGTCCATCTCGGACTCCGTCTCGGTCCACCTTGGACTCCATCTCGGACTCCATCTCGGGTCCATCTCGGACTCCGTCTTTGTCCACCTCGGACTCCACTTCGGGTCCATCTCAGACTCCAACTAGGGTCCATCTCAAACTCCATCTCGGACACTTCCACGTGTCATGTGTTGGTCCTTTTTGGGTCCCTTTTTGGAGCCTCACTTATTGCTCACTTCGTGCTTGTTCCTCGAGCACTTTGTTGGGAGTTCCACTCCCGCTCTCGACCTTCCAAGTTGGAGCTTTTAGTCCAAATGTGTTACGCTCGTTTGGCTTTCGCTTCGGCCACTACCATGTGGCACCCTTTCCAGCTCCACTTTGGGGCCTAGGGATTTTGTGTTTCACACCTTTTCCTTCTCAACCAGGCTATTCTCCTTCATGCAAACAATACTCTCCTTTCACCATGCTAGATTCTACTCATTTCGAGCAATAGTGAGAGCATTCCTCTCACTAAGCAAATGCTTTTCATGCTTTTGCTCATGCTTTGAAAAGCATTTACTCATGCTTTTCTCAGCCTTCTTTGAGTTCTTCCACTTCCTTGAACTCTCTAGCACTTGTGTAGCATCTCCAAGAGGATCAACACCATCCTCGGGATCCTCCTTGTGAGCTTCCTCCTCCAGAGCATTTGAATCAGTAAGAAATGTTGGAGATGTCGATGCTTGCTTTGCCAAGAATTCATCCATGATGTTGAAGTACTTGACTGGGAACACTTTCAAGTTCAACGTCACAGGCATAAACTACTTCACATCCTTGTGGCTCAAGCTGAAGTAGTTGGGGTTCCCAATTTTCCTCTAGAAATCACAAACACACTTGTAGTCATTGCAAAGGTTATTCCAGTGAGTCTAGCAAGCCTTC